AATATGACCGCTATGACCATCTAATTTGGCTTTTTATTATCCTGTCTTAACATCCCATAAACGGATAGACTTATCCAAACTACCAGATGCTAATGTAGTACCATCAGGAGAGAAACAGACTGAATTAACTATATCAGAATGACCATCTAATTTTGTTTGTTATAATCCTGTCTTAGCATCCCATAAACGGATAGACTTATCATAATTACCAGATGCTAATGTAGTACCATCAGGAGAAAGACAAATTGACTGTTAACCTTGATAATGACCTTCTAATTATTACTATTATTATCCTGTCTTAACATCCCATAATCGAATAGACTTATCATAACTACCAGATATCTAATGTATTACCATCTGGAGAGAAGCTCAATTAATTGATGAAATTTGAATGACCACCTAAATTAGCTTTTTATTATCCTGTCTTAACATCCCATAAATAGATAGAATAGTCTTAACTACCAGATGCTATTGTATTACCATCAGGAGAGAAGCAGACTGACATGATACACTATGAATGACCACCTAATTCGGCTTGTTATTATCCTGTCTTAACATTCCATAAATGGATATAGTTACCCCCAACACCACATAATCTTATACCAGCTGATGCTAATGTAGCACCATCAGGAGAGAAACAAATTGATTTAACAAAATCAGTCTTACTATGTAATTTTGAAATTTATTTCTCCCTTTTATAATTCCAAATATATATAAAACAGCCAATGCAATAAACTAAAATTGCATAATTAGGTGAAAAGCATACTGATTATACCTAATTCTTCTTTCTATTTAAACACTATACTTTTGCTCTTCTAATATCCCACAAACAAATAGAATTATCATTACTACAGGAAACTAATGACTTACCATCTGAAGAAAACGCAACTTAATTGACACTCTCACTATGGCCATTTAAATTATTTAACTCATTTATTTTTAAATTCCTCCACTTACAATTAAATAATTTGGCTTAATTCAAATTCATTCCACTAATAATGACATTGTTAAATTCAGATCCACTTAAGTCACATCGCATTAAATTAGCTCCTAATAGTGAAGTATTTCTAATTCTAATATTTTCAAATGATTGTTCCTTCAAATCAACTTACATTTAAACCAACAAATGAACAGAATTTGATCCACAATATATAAATCTTTCGTCTAAGGCAGTAAGACGAACTAAAAATTTTAAAAATTCTATGATTCTCTTATCCCAAGATATTTTTGTGATAAGATCTTATATAATTTCTTATAATTCATCTAAAGAGTAATTCTGTTCATTAAATTCATGGTCCATAATTTTTTTGAGAATATCTGTTATTGTAAGAATGTTATTCTTTACAAAATTAAGCAAGGAATAGTTGCTTGATTGTGAAGAATTTTCTACTTAGAAAATGACTTACTCGAAATGTTTTTGATTTTGAACTTATGAGAGAATTTCTAAGCAGTCTTAAATTTTCTCTCTTTATGATATTTTGATAAGGATAGGATAGACTATTTCATCAACCTTTTTAGATAAAGCAAAAATGCTAAACAAATCTTCAACTTAAAATTTTTCACTTTTCATTTCTTTTTTTTAATAATATTGAATTTCTATATCTTTACTTTGAGGTTTTATATTATGAGCCGAAAAGCGTCTGGTACCTTTTTATAAAGAAGAAAAACAAAATGTTTCTAATATTATTTGTTGGCGTAAATTAGAATAGTGAAAACTCACATAAACTTGTACATTACTTGATTATTGATGAATATAGAATCAAGATATAAGCGAAGGTTTTAAGACACCACCATCACAATCATCAAGATTTCTAGGTTAAAATACCAATACAAAGATTCCCTGCATGAAGAATTCAACTTCCATACCATCAATTTTACTTTCAAGAAATTTTTCATCTTATATATTATCAAAATTTTAGTGTTACACCAATAATCAAAGTATGTCTCTCAAGCAAGACAGTGATATATTTTTGATATCAATGACCATAACAGACTAAATATGACTATCCTTTTCTCAAAGAAAATGACAAAGCCAATTTAATACTTTACTAATATTCCCCTAAGAGATTGAGATTTGGGTTAATATTATGACATTTTTGAGTATTTGAAATTTTCGATTAGAATAAATTCGAACTTAAATTAATGAAACACATTTTTTCAAGCAATTATTGAAAATGTGCTTTAGATCCTCGCTTGTTTAAAGTTATTATAGATATTACAATAGAAGCAATTTTGTTATTAATAATGTATTTGGCTTTATATGGATTTAATAATAAGTCAAATAAAAAATGCGAGAGAAGCGAGGTGGGTTTTAATATTGCAATACTTTCTAGTAAAGAATATCATGAAAAAAGTACAAGGTACCAAACAAATTTGATTGTCCAAAGATAAATCTTAAATTTATATCCTGAAAACCTGATCTTCTGTAACTTTATAGCTGGTATAGGTGGTGATAGGTGTTATGATTAGATGCCAAATGATAAATTGGAACCAGTAATTACCAAAGCATTAAAAGAATATAATGATAACTTCGCAGATATGGGATTAGTGTTATTTGAAGATGCTCTTAAACATGTATGCAGAATCACTAGAATAGTGTTACCTCCAGGAGGACATCCATTATTAATAGGATAAAGAAGTAGTGGAAAATAATCATTAACTAAATTGGCTGTTTTCATTATGACATACACACTCTTCATGATTTCTATCTCAAGCTATTATGGTATGAATGATTTAAGAAATGATTTGCGATTACTTTACTAGAAATCAGGTGTCAAAGGTGAACCTATTATGTTCTTATTTAATGAAGTTCAAATTACAAATGAGAGATTAACCTACATCACTGATTTGCTAACTTCAGGAGAAGTGGCCGAACTCTACAATTCAGATGAAAAGGAAGATTTAATTAATCAAATCAGACCTAAAGTAAAGGCTGATGGTAGATCAGATACGAGAGATTCATGTTGGGGATGGCTTATTGATAGAGTAAGATAGAATTTACATATGACTTTGTGTTTCTCGCCTGTAGGTGAATCTCTCCGTAAAAGAGCTAGTCAATTCTCTGCACTTATCAACTCTACTGTTATTGATTGGTTTCATCCATGACCTTAAGATGCCCTTTATAATATTGCTTATTAATACTTAAAAGACATTGATGTACCCAAAGATTAAGTAACAGAAGCCATTGTTGAATTTATGCCATTATCGTTCTAATTAATTACAAAGTTTTCAGAAGAATATTTGAACTAAAAAAAAAGATATGTCTACACTACACCTAAATAATTCTTAGAATTAATCAACTTATACAAATTCATGTTGAAAACTAACAAGGGAATGCTTGTAAAGAATAAGGAGAGATATGAAAATGGATTTATCATATTGAGATCTACTTAAGCATTAGTTGCTGAAATTGAAATTCAAGTCAAGCTAAAACATTATGAGGCTGAGGAAATTAAGAATAAAACCTATCAACTCGCTGAAGTCGTTGGAAAAGAAAAGGCTAAGGCTGAAGTCGAAAATGCAAAAGCGGCAGATCAAGAAGCCAAATGTCTACTCTCAAATAAAATATTGCATAGAAAAAGAAATCCACCCAAGCAAACTTAGATGCTGCCATCCCATTTGTTGAATAGGCCAAAGCTGCTTTGATGGATTTGAATGAAAAGGACTTCTAGATTGCCAAGAACTTGCTGCTCCTCCTTCTGGTGTGGCAGATGTCTTTTCAGCTACCATTTTCTTATTGGCTGGTTTCTATGATGAATAAATTGAAGTTGATCAAAAATCAAAAAAAACCTACTGCCTATGATTGGTAGAGTGCTTAAAAGATGATGTAAAAGCCAATAGAATTATTGAATAAACTATTTCCAAAAAGTTTAATTAAGATTTTTATTCCTCTCCTTGTCGTTGTAGATTTATAAAAATGTTATCAACCTCGAAATTTAAACATAGAAAAGGTTGATTTTTTAATTTTATTGATATCAAAATAGTGAGGAATTACATTTAAACTAAATTTAATAATACTTTATATATTACTTAATTGAGAAGATAAAATGGTAAATGCGAATATATTGATTGATGTTGACCTTAAAAAGAAGAAGAAATCTAAGGAGATGAGATATGAAAACTGAATAAGAATACAAAAGACTAATCTGTCAGCGTTATTCTATATTAGATATAAACTTTTAGGTTTTAGTTTGAAAATTTAAATCATTGCCCGTTATTTTTTGAAGATTCAAAGCTTTAAGTATCTTGGTCATTAAAGACGTTCAAAGATATAGAATTCATTCGTACTCATAGTTTGATATGACAATTTATTTCTCAACTAATTGTCATAAATAATCAGAGTAAAAAAAAGTTAAACTCAAATATGTTTAATAATATTAAGCTTATTCTATATTTATTGACTTTAGCAATACTTTCAATACATAGATAGAGTGAAGTCATTTCAAATACTAAGGTAAATGCAGAACCTAAATGGGCAAGAAATCGATTTTCAACAAAACTTTACTAAAATATATATTATATATCCTTTAACAATTGACTAAACTTGGTCAATTTCCTTCTGATTTATGTAAGATCAACCATTTTATCAATTGAATTTTAAATACTTTTATACATAGTGAATATTATATTTAATTATTCAAATTCAATGGTTTGCTCACTTTTACCTAACTCTTTGGAATAGAGGAGAAATAACTTATATGCTTAGAATTGTAGATTTCTATTGCAAATAAAGGCTTAGTAATAAAAGTTGAAAAATGTTTAAATATGAATAGATAAGATATTGATTTAGAATTTACGTTTAATTATTTTAATAGTCATTGTATTTTATACAAAATTATCAACTTCAAAAGAAAATTTATTTATTTACACAATTGATTAAATATGAATCTGGTTTTTGCTAAAATGATTTTAATAAATTTACATTTCGATCTTAACTATCTCTTAATGTGACAGAGTGTTTGGAAACCTATTTTTCGAATAAGTATTTATTTTTAAGTTAACCATACTCTAGTCAACAAAAGATAATAAAGAATGGCTTGAATAATCTGAAAGGGTTTTAAACTTACGAAATGAATATAAAATAATAAATTTACTTAATTTCAAATGAAATTTTGGGACAAGCTACCGAAATCAAATCAAAATTATAAAAAACCTCTCATATATAATAACGAATTACAAATTAATTGATAAAATGTCAAAATGTTTTTCTACTTCTGAAGATTCATGAATTGAAAATAATCATATTATTTCAATATAGGTATAAACAAGTGCTATACATTTATAATAATGATTTAAAAGCAAAGATAGATCAAAAATATATTTGAAAATCTGAATTGAGAATTATTTTATATTTAAATAAAATATAGTAAATGGAAAATCAAAAATAAATTACTTTCAAAAAGGTTTGTATAAATTCTTCAAGCAAATGGGAAGATACTTGGTATACCCGAATACTGTATTGGGATAAGGCTAAAGGTACTTTTATGAAAATGAAATTGCAAATTTTGCTTACTAAAAACAAGGAATTAATATATTAAGCATTTTCAGGATATTTTTTAAGAATGTAAATTTATGCATTCAAACTTAGTGATTTAGTTGAAGAAATTTTATTCTTACCCTAAATTACTACAAATTTAGAATAATTAAAATTTCTACGATGGCATGGTTTGATTGGATAGGATAACTAAAGGATAGGAAAATGGACAGCAACTTGGGATGGGGAGATTATCGCTTATGTTGGAGGAGTGTACTGAAAAAAAAGGTAAAAAGTAGGGTTTATGGAAAGAATTGATAGAGAATTTTTGGAGGTATTTACATTATTACTAAATATCATTAAAAGTCGTGCATAAGTTTTTGAAGTTGGAAACTATTTAAATGATGTGAAAATAGGATTATGGAAGTACATAGAAAAGGAAAAGTATATGTAAATAAAAAATTTAATATTTGCAAAGTGGGGGTGGATTTTATAATGAAGAAGGTTAGAAAGATGGGAAATGGATA